GGCAGCAAGGTGACCAATTTTTCATTCATTGCTTAATACAATAGAAATGATTTAAATTTCAATATTCAAACCCCTCTGCTTTAAGTTGGTGCATAGATATCCCTCATGCCCAGCTTCCTTAGGATCACTTGTAGTCAAGGATTACTAACAACCTTGGTAAGAATGTCTGCTGGCTTGTCTTCGGTCTTCACTGGAAGGCAAATATCTTTGGGAGCAACTCTTTCTTGAATGAAATGTCATTCTGCCTCTTGGTTTTGTCATGCTAGTCTAGATTGTGAGCTAATGATTGCCTTGTTATCACAATACAAGAAGATTGATCCCTTCACTATAAAACCAATATCTCATAATAGGATGTTTAACCAAAGCAATTCACACACCATGGGCCATGGATCGGTACCCTGCTTCTGCACTTGGATGAGTTACTACTGACTATGTATTTTGCTCCTTCAAGTCACAATGTTACCCCTAACCAAAGTATAGTATCCTGATGTAGATCTTTGGTCCATGATAAAACCAAGCCAATCTGCATTTCTATGTGCCTCAACTCTGAGTGTCGATAGTTAGCAAACAAATAGTCCTCTACCTGGTGATGATTTTAAATATCTAAGAATTTTGTAAGTAGCTTCAAGATGAGTAGTTCATGGAGTGTACATGAACTGACTAATCACACTCGCAACATATGCAATGTTTGGACGTGTAAGTAAAAGATATATCAACCTTCCTAGTAATCTTTGAAACATGCCTAATTTTTTAGAGTTTCACCCCTCTGGTTGTTGAATTTGTGGTCTTGTTCTATAGGACTATAGCTTGTTTGGACTCGAGCTTTTATTTTTCCTAAGAAGGTTCAACACATACTTCCTTTGAGTGATAAAAATCAATGTCTTTCATGTTTGAAATGAATACATGCGAGGGAACTTAATGGTGGCTCCAATAGGCCACATGATGAGGGAAAATTGACTTAGGTTGGCTGGCCATATGTAGCGTAGACCTAATACAGTACTGGTTAGATATGTGATTTGGTTCAAGTGGAAGGCTTTAAAAGAGAAAGGGGAAGGCCAAAAGGACATGGATTGAAGTAGTGAGAAAGATATAGGGACTTATGGGTCTCATTGAGGGTATAGCCTTGATAGAGCAAAAAGACGAAACGTGATTTGTGCAGCCGACCCCAAATAGTTGGGATAAGGCTCTGACGTTGATGATGATTACATAAATCTCAACACAAATGTCGGTATTAGTACATGTCCGAGTATCTAGTACGTGAGGCTAAAACGTCAGTACTTCCCTATACGTCCGTACAACCAATATTTTGAATAACATTTGTATATATAATATAACTTCCTTTGGCCTTACACCTTGCACACAGTGCTATAGCGGTAGAATCAGTGCTTTAGGCTTATATATAAAATGATGTTTGCTTAAGTCAACATCAAAGTGGCCTTTCGGTAGTATCATTATTAAAAAACGCGGACCCCCCAGTGCCTAGGCTGTTCAGAGGGCCTCAGCGCTTCGCCCAGGCCTAGGCAGCCAAACTAGGCGGCAGTCCCTTGGTGGCCGTCTAGGCGATGCGGAACCCAACTAGGCAGGAGCTCGGCGGCTGCCCAGGGCTTGCGCCCCTCCTAGGAGTGGAAATTAAATTTTTTTTGTTCTTTTGATTTTTTTTAAACATAAAGGCTTTTAATGATGGATTTTAGGTTCATTTGAAACCTAAACCCACAAGAACCCATTTTAGAGAGAAAAAACCTCAAAAAAAACCAAATTTTGTGATTTTCATTGGATCGAAGTGTTTCTCAAAGTTACAAAAAATGGATCCAAACATTGCCCAGGTAGTTTATGTTTAGTTTTGGAGTTTTATAATCCTATTAGAGGGTGTTTTTTATTATTTTAGCGCTTGAAAACATCTCAGAGGCGGGAGTTTGGAGTTCGAGCAATCAAAGTAAGTGGAAAACTTTATTTTTAAGATTGCTTGCTTTATTTTGAGATGTCTTCTTCAGGATCTAGTCAAAGTGGAGATCCGGATTGAAAATATGGATATAACCCGAATCCAAATGATAAAAATTGCATTAGATGCAATTATTGTGAAAAAGATACAAAAGGAGGCATAAACCGGTTTAATAAACATCTTGCTGGTATTAAGGGGGATGTTGCCCCTTGTAAAAATGTTCCTGAAGCTATCAGAGAGGAGATTAAGTTCTGTAAAACAAAAACAAGAACAAAATCCTCGTCATTTGAATAGATCTATTTCTGCTTTTTCTAGAAGAAATGATCCGAGTTGGAAATATGGTTATAACCCCATAACCAAATGATAAAAATTGTATAAGGTGTAATTTTTGTTAAAAAGATACCAATGGGGTATTAAGCGATTCAAGAAACACCTTGCTGGTATTAAAGGGAATGTTGCTTCTTGTAAAAATTTTCCTGAAGCTTCTCGGGATGAGATTAGACAATTTCTGAATTTAAAAGAATCAGAAAATGATGAAAATGAGTCTTGTTCTATGGAAATATCTTGTTCAAGTTCTTTTAAAAATGGTGATCCAGGTTGGAAGTATGGTTATAACCTAAATCCGAATGACAAAAATCGTATTAAATGTAATTATTGGGGAAATTATACTAAAGGGTGCATTTACCGGTTTACAAAATACCTTGTCAGTACTAAAGGGGATGTTGCCCCGTGTAAAAATGTTTCTGAGGCTACCAGGGAGGAGATTATACAATATTTGAGTTCAGGGAAGCACAAAAAGATAGAAAAGGGTAGAGTTGCCAAGACTCCTAGGGCCTCATCTGCACATACGATTAAGCGGGAGTTAGAAGAAGAGGAGGAGGAAGATGCAGATTCAGAAGAAACAGAGGAAGACAAGCGTTATATTGAAGAGGGAGATGACTCTGATGATGATAGCCTCAAATCTTATGCATATGATGAGACATACCCTATTCCTTCTGATGATGATGATGATGGTGATGATGATGACTGAAGACTCTAGGTGTCGAGTATTGACTATTGTGTTGAGTGTTGACTATTGTGTCCTAGACTGTATATTTTCTGAATTTATATATATATATTTTTTCTTATTTCTACTTTCTAGTTTCTAGTTGTACTATTTAACTTTTGTGTGTACAGTCTACAGTGTATCAGACTATTAGTGTATGCTTGTATGGTTTTACTGTTTTA